CTTCATATGTAATTTAAAAGCAAGCTTTTTTTTGTAAAAACTTCAATTGAATTTCAATAAAGTTAAAGACATGGCCTTATCGTTAATATTTAAAAAAAAAAAAGAGCAGTCTCATTACTAATTAGAATCATATAATTATATTATTACAACCTTGTCTTCTATGTGTTGTTCCTAATTATCTGAAATAATATTGTCATCTTGAGTATATTGCTATATTTTTTGATTATTATGAATAGTTTGTTGCATTAAAATTATATAATCATTGGCATTTTTATTACAGATAGGTTGTTGCATTAAAATCATATAATCATCAGCACTTTTATGAAGATTCTGTTCCTCAATTTCACAACCAAAGAATTTATTTTCTTAAATAAAAAAGTGCATTTAATTAAGTTAAATTTATAAATAAGTAAATAACTAAAACAAATAAAAAATTAAAACTAACCCAATTCTTTTATATATGAATTATTTCTTTCCAAATATACAGAGCTATTAAAAATCGACCTCTGTTCACCATTATTCATATTATTAAAATCGCTATTATTATTATACAAGCTGTTATCATAATGTAAGCTGTCATTGTTATCTATGTTCTTTAAAACTTCTTCACTTCTAACCATATCTTGAAGCAAGTCCTTTATCATATTAATATTATGTTGTTTTAATTTTTAAATTATATTAAACTGATGCAATGGATGTTGTCCAAAAACTAGTTCATATAGTGTATGACTAGTAGACCTGAAACAATAGATATTTATAGCATATGTAACTATAGAAAGACCAATGCTCTAGTCTTTTTGTTTATTATTTTCCATCCACATTGAAAGTGCATTTTTTAGAGTCTTATTAGAATTTTTTACTAACTCTTGTGATTGTGAATAGTGGAGGCACCTGTTAATTATATGGATCTCCTTTCATAAGCTAAGAAGTTCAAAAATTACTTTTGCTGTGAACTCTTTATCATCATCATTTTGCAAAATATAAGGAGGCCCAAAGATGATAAAAATTGAAAATAAAAATGCAGCAACTTTTGATGCCTTTTTAGTATGTAATAGGCAGATCCAGAAAAACCTTGTGAAATGATCATGAAGGTATGCAATGTACTGATATTCCTTATCTGAATATCTTTCAAAAGAAACAAGATCAACTTGTATGCAGTATAAGAAGTCCTTTGAAACAATAGTTTTTTCAATAACGGGCACAGAAAAATTCCTTGAATTATTATAATGAGAAACAATATAAAATAGTTAAATAAAGTAAAATGAATTAAACAAAAAAATAAGGCAATAAATTAAATTTTAATAATAAGTAATAATTTTATATTTATAACATTTTATATTTACAACATTTATATCTTTAAAAGTAATTAACTTAATAATTTACCTTTGTGTACAATATTGTGTACATTGAGAGACATACAGTTCAACGAATGATTTAGAGATGTAGGCATATTGATTACTTATAGCATCATATGTTTTTTTTGAACCAGAATGCTGGTGTATACTGTCATAAATTTTTCTAATAACATGATAAAGATTTTAAATGGGCAGATTACACAATCTGATTCATTCGATTTATTTCTTTTTACAATCTGAAGAATTGGGTTTTGTGATGTTTCAAGATTACACAAGTGAAAATTATTTTTTGCCCAAAAGTGATCTTTCACAGTTTCAATAGACAAATCTTTAGAGTTCTTTAAAATTTAAATGATTAGATTATAATCATCTTGTGTAATTATTGCTTTTCTCTGTTGCACAGATTTGTAATTTGCAATAAATTCAGATAAAAGTTAATTGAAAGCCATACAGGAAAGAAAAGAAAAATCACTATCTACATCCATGATAAAAGCTTTTTTATTTTCTTGCAACACAGTTTAATATTTTAAAGTCTGTAATCAGTTAAGTATCCTTGAAATTGGTTTGTTTTAAAATTCACTTTTTATTAACATATTTTTAATTAACTTTTAAACAATTATATCATTTTATGTATCAGATATTAATGACTAAAACAAATAAATTTAATTCCTGACCTGATACTAAATTTTAACTTCTGGCTTGATATTAATTACATACAATATGTATGATATGATTTTTATTGAATGTTCTATAAACACAGGGTACTGAACATCATAATTCCCAATCAGGGTAATCTGTTTATAGATTCCAAATTCAGCCACCCTGATTTTGAATCAGGATGAACTGATTCTGAATTGGACAGATTCCAAATCTGAGTACAACATATACTTAAAAGTTCCTAGATATACCCTACAATCTACTTGGATCACCAATCTAAAACTTCAAACCACCAATTTATTACAAAAACAATGCTCTGTTTTAGCATATATGAATGATACTCTCTGGATTGCATCTTCACAAACTAAGTTATCTTATATACTATCTATAGCTGAATTATTTTATACTATAACAAACATCCAAGTTAACCCTTCAAAATCTATTCTGGTTACTAATAACCCTCTATTCTACTTACTTCTATCTCCTATAATAACCATCAACTTCAATTTTATTTGTTTCAAACAACTCTTTAAATTTTTATGTTACTAGTTTACTTTAAACAACAGACAATCTAAACAAACAAAATTAATTATCTCTGAATTCTCCCAACTTATTCAAATTGCAAAAACAAAATATATAACTTATTTACATACTTACTACATTATCAATATAGTTATTATTTCTACTATCGAATACTACTTACACAACATTGTCATTAATCAACTTATTTGCAACAAACTTTTTATTTAACATATTGGTCTTGTTAAGCTCAAAGCTAAACTTTGCTATATAATACTATCCAGTATCCTATTACACTCTCAAATCTATAATATTAAACACATCTGGAATATCCAACTACAACATTTTATTTCCAATCTTCTTAAACAACTTAATAATTCTGACCTACTAGGCACATTTACTCATATATATATCCAACAACTCCAAAGCAACCTTTGGTCTTTTATCAATATTTTTCTTCACTTTAAGCCAATTATTGATGAACCCAATTGATTAACTACAAACTTCAAAATAATACAACTTATCAAATATATAGGCTGAACTTTTTCAACTAGTCCAATTTATAACATTCCATATACTCTAAATAATGAAACTATATTTCTTGAATCTCTTTTTTCTTCTAATCCAAAACACCTCATTTTCAAAAAACAACTCAGATACTATAAACTTCTTTTTCTGAACCAACTCACTATTTATAACTACTCATGTCTATTGTACTGGCAACACATTTCATTCAGACTTAACAAAATTTCAAAAGGTGTTATACCACAATGATTTATTACTTTTGAGAACATCATTACAAGTCACTCTTATGAACACATCTTATATGATCATTACAATTTATCTTCTATAAACTACTTCTGTCACTTTACTGACCACTTTACTTTTAACACTAAACTTTGGCTAGTCACTGTTCTTGATAATTAAATAATTATTGGCAAGACCAGAAAGCATAATACATCTACTGATCTCACTTTTATCAACTACTAGCATTGCTCATTCCAGTCTTAGTTCTCTAACCTTTATCTTATCTCTTTCTTTACTACCACATTATATATTAGATAGCATCTCAATTCAAATACAATCACTAACAAATGTACTATCTTTATTCTTACTAACTTGGCTACTAAACTACTTTGCTATATCAATCCTTAACCTTCATGCAAACTTTCTTGATATTGCATATTTTGTTACTCTTCAACATCTTTTACATATTCTATCTCTTCTATCACTTACAATTAATCTACAACAACTACCTTCTATTTTTGAAATATGTCAACTTGTTAATAACCTTCAGACTTTTACTAACTCAAACTACAATCTATAATCTATTTCATTCTATACTGATAGTTTTGTTATTAATCTTGGTACTTTACAATGTTTTATAGGTATAGGTTGGGTTCAAGTTAATAACTCTACAACTATTAACTTATTTTAGACACAAGTTAAACTGTAGTCATGCTTTTTTAAAGCTGAAATTTTTGCTATTCTTTTAGCAATTATTACTGCTCCTAGATGCTGTTCTGTTCACATATTTACTGACTCACAATCAGTAATCTCCAAATATCATAATATTTGCCAATTAATATTTAATCTTTCTTATACTCATACTTCATATTTTCTATCTGGCAAACACTTATCAACTTTATTAAGTCTTATGAAATTCAACTTACTTTTCACAAAATTACTGCACACTAAGATGATCCATTTAATAACCTTATTAACCAACTTGCTTGTAATCACCAAATATTACCCTATCTAACATTCTTAACTAATAATCCTTATAACCTTAACTATACTTCTTATATTAATAAATTTCATATTGAAGTTTCTATCTGACATCTATTCGAACTATATGCCAAGCTCATATTATAAGATTTTGGACATCTCAACATCATTTTCAACAATAATCTACTATTGCATCTGACATCAACTGGAAAGCTACATGGCTTTAAATCAACAATAATCAAAAAATTTCTAATTTTGCTTACAGCTTCTATTCATCTATTCTGAAAACTTTTCAAGTTAAAATTCTTACAGATGAACTTTCTGTTTTTCATACTCTCATAAACATAATTCTTCATTTTCCTCCTTCTGTTATCAATGCAATCAAACTAGCTTTTTACTTCATTGCATTACCTGCCCATTAACCCAAACTATTTACCACTTAATCTCTAATTCTCTTAATAGTATTTAAATACTACCAATCTTGATATGCCTGCCAATCTTGTCTCTGATTTACATACTAAAATTCTTATCCTTAATAGTTTTAAACCACATAACTCTTTACATATAACTTTTCTTATTTCTACCCTATCTTATTTAGTTTTTATTAATCTTATTTCTATTATTCACAATGCTTTTATTTCTTATTATACTGCTACTACCTTTCTATTAAACTTTTTCTTTATTTAAATTAACAAATATACAAATAAATTCAGATTTCATACTGTATCTTACATTCTGTACAGTCCTACACTACACTTTTTACTAACTCAACTCATAGTTATTCTTCTAGTCTACCCTTACCTCCTATTTCAATACTACAAATTATTACTAAAATTGATCTTTGGACTATCCAATGAATTAAATCTCATACCCCTTTCTCATATATTATTACTTAAACCCAAATCTAGATAAGCCTTAGCTACTCTTGTAGGTTTAGATTACAGATAAAATGTCTGAGTCTTTATTCTTTATATGTAATTTAAAAGCAAGCTTTTCTTTGTAAAAACTTCAATTGAATTTAATAAAGTTAAAGACATGGCCTCATCATTATTATTTAAAAAAATAATAATAATAATAATAATAATAATAATAAAAAATATTGCTCAAGTCAAAAACTTGGATAATATTACAAAAAATATGCATGTATTTTCAAGAAACAGTTTAAATATTGCCAGCAAAATTACTATTAATTAATAAGCTAATATGTTTGCAATATTTGCTTAATTGATATAATAGTTTTATATTTACTTTATTACAAATTTAAAATTTAATATAAATCTAATATTATTTTTTTTTAAAGGTGACCTCTTGGGTTTAAATCTAATATTATTAATGTTAAGGTAAATTAATTATTAAATAAAATTAGTATTAGTATTAAAACATTGGTAAATTTAAAAGTTTTACTATATTGAATCAAAATTTTAATTATAAATAAGAACATGACAATTTGGTTAAGATTCTATTACAATTTTTGAATTAGTCAATATGCTATATGTCATTTCTTAATTTACAAATTAAAATTCATTATTTTTCAATTTCTATTAATTAAAAAAATTTTTATACTATTATGTAGTTTTATGTATTTTTTTTTTTTATTAATAAATTCACAAATTTATTTTTCAGACCCATGAGATCTTTAATTGAATATTAAAAACATATTCAAATTAAAATAAAGTTTGATAGATAGAAAACACTACAATAAATTTCTTAATATATTAAAAAACTTATTAAGCAAAGATTACACATTCAATTCATACTATATTAGGATTAAATTTATTCTGTTCAACTCTTAAATTGTACAATTTGTATTATGCAAGAATATCTAATTTAAGAATACTCAATACAAGAAAGCCAACTTAAGAATACTCCAAGAATGCTTAACTAAAAAATACTTAACTTATACATTTTTGAAGGAAGTAAATAAATAAATTTTATAGATATAATTTGAATTAAAATAATTGTGCAAATAATGGTTCAAGTAAACTGCAATACAAATTTTTCAGATATTGGTCAAAACTAATTAGAAATAGGCTGCTTTTATAATTTAGGTATATTCTTATTCTTTAAACTGTATTTTAGACAAATTTGCCTAAAAAATTAAATTGTATTTAGTATTTTTTAAATAAAATAATTATTTATTAAACAGAGTGTGGCGACCTAGTGAAGTGGTCAGGTTGTCAACCCCTCAAGTGGTAGGTTGGGTGTTCAAATCTCATCGACAGCAAAAATTTGGATAATCACCTATGTAATATTTGTATTATGGCAACTGTTACTAACGGTTAGGTTAGAATACCTGTAATGGCGGTCACACCAGCATGACTGGCAGGTTACGGGGCATCTGTGCAATGTTGAAGTTATATAGAGAAATGCAAACTGATATATCGAGCAGCGCAAACACTAGATAAGTCCTCATGGCCATGTAAATTCATTGAAATTAGGTAACAAGAAGTCCATTTGGGAAGACACAAGTAGAGAGATAGCTGGATCTTTGATGACCCTACTGTAAAGGCTAGCTCAGCAAAACGGATATCTAGGTCTAGTACCTGATCCTAGTAGCCGGACAGACAAAAACCTCTAGGTTGGAAGTCTCAGAGGTACTACCAACCAGACTGCCAAAATGAACTGGAGGAAAAGGATATTGGGCCGACCCGATATACTGATGGACTGGTCATAGTCCTATACGGGTTATCTGGATTGGGAGTCTGGTAAAAGGGTAGTGAAAAAGGCAGAGGTATACTAAAGTATCAGGGTTATGCTGTGAAGTAGATGCTAGAGTCTAAGTGAACTCTATAAGAACATAGCGGTTTAATAGTTAAGCCTGATCGCAAGTATTGGTTCTATCATAACGATACCTAGATCAACTATAAAAATAGGTACAGAAGGCTCTGGAAGATTTAGCTCGAGAATAAATTAGTCCTAAGGTTGAGGATGATGATCTAGTACATCTGAGATGACCAGTGATGTTAACACAGGTTACAGGTTCAGAGGGTTTAAAGTGGAACACCCAAGCAGAAGTGTTAGGTACGACAATTGGTGAGGAACCTTCAGACGGACTCCTTAAATAGGTAATATAGAAAAGTTACACATGTAGCCAATTGTATGCTCTCCTGTAGTGGTTCATTGAATCACAATACCGATAAGTGATTAATAAAAGGCAAAAGACCAAAGAGGTCACCTTAATACCAAAAAAAACAAAAAAAATAAATAAAATTTAAACCTTAAACCTGCTACTTGAAAGATGACAACCCAACCACTACACTAGGATCACCATTCTCTCTTCCAACTTTATTTTAATAACAACATTATTTACCATTACATATATATTTTTTTATTTGCTTAATTTTATGATTTCTGCTTAATTTTGTAAAATCAATCAAAATGCAAAAAATAAATAATGCAAATCACAAAATTAAATCGACCAATTAGAATAAAATGTCGATCATTATCGATCATTCTGATTACAATGAATTTCCGTCTTGCTTCTTGCCAGTCATAATATTGCAGATCATACAAATCGTGAAAAAATAAAAGAACTTTATTTTTAATTTTTAACCACCGTTAAAATTTTACATGAAGAACCTTCAAATGCTAAAGAATAGACAAAATCCTTGCTCAGAATTAAAATAACAATCTCTTACCCCTAAACAAAAGTCGGAAAGCATATTTGACGCAAATTTACATATGAATTTTATGCTATCTACGATTATGCAATTCTAGAAAATAATAATGAAGGCATATCAAAGGAAATTTTTAGTAAAATTTTCGCAATAGATAATCGTATGGTAGCCTCTGAAAGTTTTTGGCTTTTTCTAAATTCAGATTAGCGATATTGAACATTTAGATAAATTAGTAAGAAAAAATGTGTTTATTTTCACAATACAATAATAATGTGTTTAATTTTATATTCCTGCGTAATAGTAACAGATTTTTAGAGGTTACATATCAACCGTTTGATCCGAGTTGTAAATTTTTGACTCGGCTGAACCGTTTTGACACGGGTGACCCGGTTTACTATAGCCCGGTTCTAAACTCTATTATCCAGGACCGACCTAATAAAATAAATGAAGAGGATCAACTTTAATGAACCCAAATTTCTTGTGTAAACCGAACCAAATTATAAGACCAACTTACTTTAGGAATGTCGTAATGTTCTGTCATTTCTTCTAATTTTCTATTTAATTCCTGAAAAAAACATTAAGCGTAAACTTTAATTTAAAAAGAATACTATACATTATCTAGTAATATTTATTTACCGCCACACGTTCCTTGTGCGATTTTCGTGCAGCCTTCTCTACTTTCTCATCCAACTTTATATTATAAATATTATTGAATTATGATATCGAATAAATACTATTGCAAAGAATAAAATTAAACGTAATATACCCTCTTTCTTTGAACTTCTTGAAATTTCTTTTCCGCTTCTGTTTTAGTTATAATACGGATCGGTTTATTAGCTTCATCTTCAAGCGCTTCCTTAGCTAATGCCGCCAATTGTTCTTTCTCTTTACGGGTTTTCTTTTTTTTTCTTTTCGGAATAAAGAATTGATTAAAAACCATGCAATCTTTACAAGATCAAAAATTGAGGTGAAGTTAAAAATGTATTTACTTTTTTTCAATGTTGCCTCCTTTAAGTTTTAAAGCACCACCCGGAACATTGTCATATTCAGACATGTCGGACGATGAGTTAAAATAGACGCGAGCTTATTAAAACCATAAAGTAAAAACGTAAGACGAATACAATAAACTTGCATATTTATAATATTTATAGTAATGTTGTAATCAGTTTCTTAATCAGTTTAAACCATAATTTAAGTTAAAAAATATAGCATGATGGAAAATCCATTTGATTGGTTGTCGATCGTCATAGTAAAATTTTCATTGTTTGCTATATAAATTTATGACTTGTAAGTAATAAGTCAAATTTTTACAGCAACTTACTATATATCGATCTGTTTTCATATGGGGGCCCCACAGCAAAAGGTGGTGATGGGCCAAAAAAAAGGTTTATGTAGTTTTTTAATAGTGTTCTAAATGATCTAACTTTTGCAAAAATAATTTTTTTTGGCCCCCCCATATAGCAATAGAACATTTACAATAAGCAAATTCCAGGGATCGACAACCAATCAAATGAATTTCAACCATGCTAAAAAAAATATACCAATGGTTCTTAAGGGAATCATTTCTACTCGCCAATTGTCACGGGTCGAACTATGTTAGATTTAATCATGTTAGATTTAATCATGTCATATTCCAGGCTATGTTAGTATGACATGTAATCTAAACTTAGTGTTAACGCGAAAAACTAACTCAAATAGATCACTTTTGCAATATCTGATATTCAAATTTCACTAAATATTAATAATGAATTTATTGTTTTTTAATTAGTTATTATAAACCAGTTTACTTGTAATCTTTAAATAACATTACATCTTGGACAATTCTCAATTGAGCAGTATCTAACTGTGTTAAATTGAATTCTAACTCATTCAAAGCTTTTGTTTCATTTTCTGTCAATAATTGGATGAAAGTATTATTATTCAATTGTTTAAGTGCATCTTCCTTTTCTTTTTTATCCAATAATCGTGCTGCAGAAGATTCTTGTTCAAATCTGACTTGATGAATATTTGCAAGCGTACGGTAATAGTTATATAGAATTATTTCATAGCATTTGTTGTAATCGACATACCAAAAGAAAAAGGTACGTGAAGGCGCTCGATCTCCCGACCTTGGTACTTCCTTAAAATGAAGGAATTGTAATTCTTAAAATTTATATATATTGATCATACAGATTGATAATCAAATATTATGTAAATTACTTGGACTTGTGTAAAACCACCGTTAAGTAGTTCCGTTAGTTTCTGTCGGACATCCATTACACTCATCAAAGTAAATGTGGTAACCTAAAAAAAAAAGCGTTCACTTAAGCTTGACATCATATTTTAATCATTGATAAACAATCTACTAACCGCTTTTTCGTCTAATTTTTGTTTTGCTTGTAATACTTTTATAATTCTTTGTCCCTTTATGCCATATTTTTCTAGTATAATATTTTCGAAAACTTGTTGTTTTAAAGATTCACACAATGCATTATATTTAACAAAATACAATCCACCCAGATTTTCATCTTTTTTACACAAAAGGTTTGCATCATCCTCAATTAAACAATCCAAATATTGCTTAATAAGAGATTCACGGGTAACGGTTTTTCCTTTTTCGGTTTTCATCTGTTGAAAAAACACTTCATCTTTGCTTTCTGGTATATTTTTGAGGATTCTATGCAATGAGACAGAACCTATAATATAGCAATAGCATTAAAATATAATGAATTTTATATATATATCTAATTATATATAAGTATATATATTACATGATTCAATTTCACTTGCTTTATCACAATCGGCAATATCTAGAATATATCTCATAATCGTTCCTGCGGAGTGATTAAGGCGATCCCTAACAAACTTAGCAAACCGCTAAGATAAAAATTATATAAAGTGTAAATTTATATGAAGCGTATCAAGCTTCATCCAAGACAAGAATCTAATGTTGCACATACTTTATTTCTTGCTTTAACGTTAAATTTTTCATAGTTTACTCGAAAATATTGATTTTCCTAATATAAGAAAATTTGTATAATGTGTATAGAGGAATGGAACGAATACATTTTATATGATCGGTATTAGCATTTGACAAAATTCATGTTCGAATGAATTTGTTCATAAGTCCAATACCAACACATATATGATCGGGACTTACATCAAATGTTATCTCCCCTTTATGTTGCTGCAACGTTAAATCATAAAGTTATCTCCATTAAGCCTTCGTTATATTGTGCCGGCTAAATAAATTCACGAAAGAGAAATTCTAACCTTTGTTGGTCTATCAAAATTTTCCAAATTTAATTTGCGTTTCTATTAATTTTTGTAAAAAAAAAAAAAATGTTTGATTTAATTAAATCTATTATTAATAACCTGAATCAAACCTGAATAAATAATATTAGACTGCTACCGATCCAGTTGCTGTATCATTCATATCAAGATTAGCTGCTAGTCTGGCCTTGGCTTCGGCCATTTGCTTTTTAGTAGGTATGAAATTGGTTACTTTTGCTAATTCTCGTTGCTCTGCTTCAGTAGCTTTATCTCTAGCTGATTTAGAATCAGTAAAATCAACGGATGAAATATAATTTTTTTCGATCATTCTGTAAAAGGATTCTTTGATATCCTTGTATCCTAAAAATAATATCAACAAATAATGTTTATATGTCTACTTTCCAATTAAGAACGTACATACTTACTGCTTGATTTTTTATTAATTTTTAGATCTTCGACTAATCCTGAAAAAGTCACTTTACCATTAAGCAATATATGTTTGACAAGTTCACTCGCATGCTATTAATATTAATAAGTTAAATAAAGTTTGACATTATAAAACTTTTAATGCACAAAATTTACCCTTGATCCGACCCATTCATTAGCGTTCTTTATATAAATACCGAAATTTAACCTTGTGAGGATTTCGTCTCTTTCAATAGAATAATAAATTCCAATTCTTTGACTTTCTCTCGCTTCAGCCCAGTATACCAAATTATGTTGGATCAGTATGAAAAGACATTCTCGAGTCTTTGCTAAGGCAAATTTTGATAGTTTGGCGATTATTGGTAGAGTAAGACGGCCTTTTTGTAAAAGAACTTTTGCAACTTGCTTTATTTACAAATGGTTATTCTTAGTTGATTTTTAAAACAAACTGCAGGAAATTGAAAGCAGGATCCCTACTTCAACGCTTGGCCCAAAGTCATCTCGGATAACATAGCAGCATAAGCGATCGAGCATATCAGCCATTATGACAAGAATGCGTAATTCATTTTAAAAAATTTTATCGCGTTTTTGCTCAGTGTGTAACAAATTTCCAAGGGAGACCTCCCAAATATGAGCATGGTGGAAGTTTGTTTTGATTGGCCAATATTTGTGATCTACAAAAGATGTTACATAGACCATGATATCGTTGCTGATTGGCTAAAAAAATAATTTTACAATATCACGCTAAGTGTTTAATTGAATATGAGGATGCTTTTCATAAACGTGTGTTTGCAATCAAAAAAAAAAATTTTTTTATGTCAAAGTAAATTTGAGTTTTGGAGTTTTGTGTAAAAGTCTGTCATTCTTAAAATGCTATGGGCTATCAAAAGATGATTCGAGAAACTATGTTCTTATTTTGAACTATGCAGAAAAAGGTTCTTTACTAACCTTTATAAAGTAATGCAAATGAAATAAAATCTTTGATTATTTGTTCATGTCGCTTTAATTGTTAATCTTGCTTTGCCTGACCAGATAAGTCAGAGAAAACAACTTGCATTAGAACAAATCTCTTTGTATATATTTCTAGTATTTGACTTCAATTAAAAAATAGTATTTATTTGAACCTTACGATTCTTTAAAATGTTGCATGTAAGTTTATTATTACTTGTTTTCACAATTATTACATCATGTAATATATGTATACTATAATAATAAAAATTTTGTATCTTCATTTCAAAATAAGTGTTTAAAAAATTTCTTGATAGTTTTAAAAATCGAAAAAAGCTCTATAGTTATGCGAAAAACAGTCACGAAATCGCATTGTAAACTTCTTAGTCTAAGGCAGTGAGATCGAAGATCATAACCCAAATTAAATTTTAATTATTGCAGGTTGTAAATTTTGCAGGTCAAGAAAAAAAAGAATCGCATAATTTTTAAATGATTTTTAGATGATTTCTGATTTCTTAAAATATTATTTTAAGAACCAGAAATCATCTAGAAATTATCTAAAAATCGTGTGATTTCTTTTTTTCTTGATCTGCAAAACTTACAAAATTTTGCAAGCTGCAATAAATTGTTATGCAGAATCGACGAAGGCTTAGATAATCATCAATGGAAAAATCGATAAACATAACTAGAAGTGAATTTAAGAAAATTAGTATAGAAAAGGCACATAGAAGAATATGAAAGAACCTAATGTTGAAGAAAAAAGGAAAAGATTGTATTAATTGGCGATCATAGTGTTCCTAAAAGAAAAAATAAGAATTCTTGATATATAAATAAAAAACTTTTAATCTCTCTGCAAAATATAAAAGAACCCTAATTTTGTCTTTGCAAACTTTTAAATCCTTTTGTTAAAATATAATAAATTTATTCGCTCTATTTAATATAATCTCAGTTAGTTATTTTATCTTGTGTAAATACAATGCCTCCTAAAAAAAATATCGGACCTTGTTCTATTCGTAATTGTCAAAGTAATTCAAATCAATTTTGTAGGATTACAAAATATGTATTAACAAAAATAAAAACAAAAGATATACTTAATCAATATAATTATCTAGAAATTAAAATGCAGTTATGTTTTCCTCATTACTTAAGCATCATTGAGCCTGACCATAATGATAGAAACAAGTTACCAACTAATGATACACTCATTATAGAAAATAATCAAACTGTTATTGAAATGTTACCATTTAGTAACTCACTAGAAAATACAGTTAACAAAAAACAATTATCTTTTGATGATAAAATCACTTTAATGACAAAAGTATTATATGAAAAACAAAAAAAAGAAGACCAATTACTTGAATTAGATTCAGATAATTTTTAAGCAATGTTCAAGAATGCAGAACTGTTATTAGAAAGATTTTTAACGAATTGTATAATGCATTTATCCTACAAAGATGATCTGTTTATAATAAAAAGAAGATATAAAAAAGTAGTTAATATATATTACTCTATAGCAAGAATATGTAATAAATTCATAAATAATTATCTTTTAGAGATTGGACTATATTTCACAGCATCAGGTGCTTCATGTGATGTGATTAATATATTACATAATATAGGAATTTGTGTTTGTTATAAACCCATTGAAAATTACAGAAAAAAAATAGCTAGTGAGCATTCAAAAAAAATTCAAGAGTATTTTATTAAAAAAGTAAGTTTAACAGCCTATAATCTAAGTTTAAAATTAAAAATAACCAAATTAGATTAAATCAATTTTGGCTAAAATACTCTGATTATTATATTAAGATCATTGGATATTTAGCAAAAATACTCTGACTGTATGTGTATAAGCAGAAACTTCATTTTCACTAATACTCAACAGATCAGAATATTTTTATTACTAATCATTTTTAGCCAAGATTAAAGATTGGACCCACTAAGAAAATTTCAACCTAGGTATTGTTAAATTATCCAAGTTATTTGAGTAAATTATTATATATTTTGGGTAATCATATAGTAATGATTTCTATCCAGGTCCAATTCCTAGCTAGGTTACTTGATCCAAATAGCAATTTTTAAAATATTAATATTTTTAAAAAAAATTTTCTATTAAAATAACAGTTTTTTTGTATATAACATTGATGATTACTATAATATCTATGGAATAAGACATTTAGATATCATATCTCTTTCAGCTCTAATTCATTTTGCAACATGCATTTGCAAAAAAATTCCCAAATGTGCACCAATTCTGATAAATTACAATGGCAGCTCTGTTCATAATCCTATTAATATAAACATGTTCTTTATATGTCTATATTTAATTACAACATATAATGGAATTTTTGATTTTTCTTATATACAAAGAAAAAACCAATAGGTTTTCTCATAAAGAATAGAAACCAATTTTGATCGAATTAATCTTCTAACTGTTTATTGTTATGATAAAGCTATTAAAAATAAAAAAAAAAAAAAAGTATAAATGAAGTATAGTTAGTTAGAATTAAAAAAAATAATCTTAAAAGATTGAACAATTATATAAGCATATTAGAAATGATTCTTTCAATAAATAGAGACATTAATCATATAAATAATTATATAATGCTAGTCATTGCTAACTAGCCAGGGCAACTTTTTATATAAAAGGCATTAACTTACTTGCATAAGCAAAATACAGAAATACCAGCAGCTATTGATGCCTTTGTACCTATATTAGATCTATTTCATGTCTTATTAAATAGTCAAGAACAAGTCCTAATTACATACCATTCTTTTTTTAATAAACTCTACCTTACAGTATTTTAAAAAAAAAAAATCTTGCACAAAAACCAAAACTATAAAGAATAAACTTATTACTTGATCTTACTTATCAAAGATGATTAAAAATAAAAATAGAGATATTAGAAAAATTTGAACCTATATGCAAAGATGTGGAGTGTAGAATATTAGTTGATCTTGTTGATAATATAATTTTAGCAACTTTAGACATATATACTATTCACTTTCGCTTAGACTTTTTTGATAAATATGTTGAAACTATTTTTTGGATATGAACTTTTGCACTATGTTGAAAGTATAAAAATTATAATAAAGCTTCTTTAACATCTTGTTAGATATTTTTTATTGGCAAGAGAAAAATTATTCAATGCTAGACATAATAAAAATGTTTTTTGTAAATTTCAATGATTATTTCATTGAAAACTTCTATAGCAAAATTTGCACAAATATATCATCTAATGATAGTTCTGCAACTATTATTCAACAAGCATGTATTCTAGTTAAGTTTAAATAATAATATTGATAAAATTAATTCATATATTATAATAATATTGTTAATAATATAAAAATAAAATAAATAGATACAAATAGAGAAACATCATTTAAAAAAACATTTAATATAAGAAAAAGATACCTGTATGTCTCTTTTACTTTGAACTATCTAGTAAATAAAATGTCTTTGTTTTTGCAAGATCATTTTTATCAAACTTTTTAACATATTAATATGATTTCTAATATAGCAAATAATAAAAATAAAAAATAAAAAAAAATAAAAAAACAATCATTAAAATATAAGTTGCCTGTCTTAGATGAAGATGTTGATATCATGTGTTTACCGATAGGCTATAGTACTAGAATACCTTCTGTACCAAAACTTTGTAATCATTGTTATAAACCATTGAATGAAAATAAGAGCAGCACTATGTTAATTTGTGATCATGGTTATCATTGGCATTGCTATGGTGAAATAGAATATAGTTGCTGACACTGTAAAGAGTACTATAAAACTAGAATTTACAAAAATGTTGATTCCTTTTTAGAGAGACTTGAAAAAAGAACTGATATCTTAACTAAAAATGATAAACTTGAGAAAGAGTTTCAAGATGAAGATGATATAGAAGAATATGAAGATATGCAGAAAGAAAATGTAACAATAAATTTACAAAATATGTTAGATAATATTGATAAATGATAAATAATTAATGAACATAAATGTAACTACTAAGTTTCTTACTTATTGAATAAACCATTAAATTTAAAGTAAATTATATGATATTGGTATATTTACAATTTTTTGTATATAAATAGCTATTTTAAACTGCTTGATCTATAGTTTTAAAATTTAAAAGTGCTTTAAAACTTGAAAGTCATGCTAATAAAAAAAAAAACCTTGATTACATGAAAATTTGAAAAAGTTACTAACTGTAAAATTTAAAATAGCTATGTAAAATTCATAAATTTCTTACTTTTTAAGTATAAACGAAGTACCTTAACCTATTTGATCTATAGAGATCTTAAAGTCTCAAAGGGTATATTAGTATTGGAAATATGTTCTAGTAAAAAAATAGCTTTGTTGTACAAACAACTATAGTACTTGTTATATTACTAAAATTTATCAAAATCGAAGGTTTCATATAGCAATTATTGTAACACTTAATATATCACCCAATCACATTTAATCTAATGATCAGATTTGATAACCAATCAAAACAATATTCAACCATGCTTCAAATATAGAGGTCGCTTAAAGCCAGATACATTATAAAATTGTCTGATGATCAACAATCATCAAATAATTACAGAATTCAGTAAGTAAACTGTTTTTTTTACAATACTTTTTATTTATAAAGCTTGAAAACTTTGAATATGTCTTAATGACTATTGTATCAAATTCAATCAAAATTTTTTAATTTGAATTCTACAGATCTGTAGAATTCAAATAAAAAATTTTTATTGAATTTGATGTAGTGGTCATTGAGATATCTTCGATCAAAATTTTTAAATTTTTTTAAAACATCTATTACATATAGTGCTGTATCTAAATTTTAAGTCAAATTTAATTAAAGATATCTTAAAGACCACTGCATCAAATTCGATAAAATTTTTTTTATTTGAATTCTACAGATTTGTAGAATTCAAATAAAAAAATTTCATTGAATTTGGTGCAATAGCTGTCAAGATATCTTTGATTAAAGTTTTTGAATTTTTTTAAACTACCAAAATTTTTAGTCATACTTTAATGAAGATATCTTAATGACTACTGCATCAAATTTGATAAAAAATTTTAAATTTGATATAGTCATTAAGATATCTTTAAGTTTTTAACTTTATAAATAAAAAAGTAATGCAATTTTCTTAATTTATTAAATTTTATTTTTTATTTTTATTTTATTTTTTTACATTTTTTTGCTATCTAAATTTAGAACTATATTTAAAGAAGATGGCAATGTTTCAATAAACACTGCCTTTTGCACTGCATTACCTTCTTTTTCAACTCTCCAATAAGCATTTGTGTCCTTTTATCAATTTATTTACTATTAAATATTATTTCTTCAAAGTCTTATTAGCCTCTATTTTCTTAAACAAGTTAATTTCTACCAACTTATGATCAGTATATACTTCAAACTTATTCTTTATAAACTTTTTTTGAAACTGTTTCTAAGCACTAAAAATTAATAATTTTTTTCTTTATATAGATGCTTATGAAATATATGTTGACATTAAAGTAGATACTAATAAAAAAAAAGACAATAATAGTTAGAAGTTATAAGGTTTGATGCTTCTTTATTCTTTTCAAATTTTTTTCTACAATGTGAACTTCACTAATGATTAATTGTTGTATAGGAAATAGAAACTTATAGATTTGGACAAGGATTTTATAATCTATATCAAAAGCTAAAATTCATTTTATATAAAACTTAAAAGTCATATTTCTGAATCTAATTGTTTTTTTTTATTAAGTATAATTATTTTAATATATATATTTTAATAAAATTATTAATTATAATTTTTTTTTTAAAATGTCAAAGTAGAAACTTTATTATATAATAAAAATAATTATATTAAAGATTTCTAAATTACATTTGTGTTACTTATTTAAGACATCCAATATGACATTACATCTTTATTTCTATATAACATTATTATTAATTATTTTAAATTAATTTTAAATATAAAAAGTTTGAAGAAAACCTAAAGTAATAATTTTGGCATTTAGTAAATACAAATAATAAGTGTATAGCTTAGAATTAACTAGTTATATAATACTAAGAAACTGAAATACAGAAATCTACTTAGAAATCTTAAGTATAAAGATAGTATGAACTTTTGACAATACTACTGAACTATCAAAAGGTTTCAAAAAAAGATTATTAGAATTACTAGTATAGATCAGACAACAATATGTGTAGAGGAGTATATACTAACCAAGTTGTTAAGAATTATCAAAGAAAAAGGATTTTAGAATACTATACTGAGTTATTTGAATTGGTAGTTTGTAAAGTTTTGTAGATTTTATAGGTTCAAAAATAGAAAATGAAAGTTAGAAAAAGAAGGTATCAGGGTCTTAGTGAACTTTACAAAGATATAGCAGTTTAATAGTTA